AAATAGCTAATGGCGGAAAAAAAAGTAAAAAAAAAGAATTTGGAATATTTATAATAATGATTTTAATAACAATCAATTTTTCTTTTCTAGGCGTTCAAAAACTCTCCAAAAAGTAGCTTCCTTTTGATTTTAACAAGGATTTTAAATCTATTCCTTAATGATTCACGAATTCACCTTTAAGAATAAGTGCTCGTTTTGCTTGAAATACTGCAGATTGGGAAATAACGAATATATTAGAATATGAGGCACCTAAACATATGGTAAAAATAATACTTTCTGAAGTTAGATAATTTGAATTATAAGACTATAAAAATTATGCTCAAAGATCTTAATAATTTTTGTCCATGGGTTAAATTAATTATCCAGTTTTAACATTCCATAATCTAATTGAGTTATCATTACCCCCAGATGCTAAAGTAGTTCCATCTGGTGAGAAGCAAACTGATCGTACATAATCGTTATGACCATCTAATTAGGCTTTTTATTATCCAGTTTAAACATCCCATAAATTGATTGACTTATCACAACTACCAGATGCTAAAGTAGCTCCATCTGGAGAGAAGCATACTGACTGGACATAATTAGTGTGACCATCTATTTCGGCTTTTTATTATCTTGTTTAAACATTCCACAATCTGATTTACTTATCACCACTTCCAGATGCTAAAGTAGTTCCATCTGGCGAGAAGCATACTGAGTAAACAGTACTAGTATGACCAACTAATTTGACTTTTTATTATCCAAATTTAACGTCCCATATTCTGATTGACTTATCCTCGCTACCAGATGCTAAAGTTGTTCCATCTGGCGAAAAGCATACTGAGTGGATAGTACTAGTATGACCATCTAATTTGGCTTTTTATTATCCAGTTTTAACATCCCATAATCTGATTAATTTATCACCACTTCCAGATGCTAAAGTAGTTCCACCTGGTGAGAAACATACTGAGTTAACTTAATTAGTATGACCATCTAATTTGGCTTTTTATTATCCAGTTATAACATCCCATAATATGATTGACTTATCATCACTACCTGATGCCAAAGTAGTTCCATCCGGTGAGAAACATAATGATTAAACAGAACTCGTTTGACCATCCAATCTGACTTTTTATTATCCTGTTTTAACATCCATTAATATGATTGAGTTATCCCAACTACCAGATGCTAAAATAGTTCCATCTGGTGAGAAGCATACTGATTCAACAGAACTCTTATGACCATTCAATTTGGCTGTTTTTTTACTTGTTTTAACATCCCATAATCTGATTGACTTATCATGACTACCTGATGCTAAGTTTGTTCCATCTGGCGAGAAACATACTGAGTAGACAGCACCAGTATGACCATTCAATTTGGCTTTTTATTATCCAGTTTTAACATCCCATAATCTGATTGACTTATCATCACTACCTGATGCTAAAGTAGTTCCATCTGGTGAGAAGCATACTTAATTGATGCGAATACTATGACCATTTAATTAATTAAGTTCGTGTATTTTTATGTTTTTCCACTTACAATTTAATAATAGAGCTCCATTTAGATTAACTCCACTAATATCTACATTATCGAATTCTGATCCACTAAAATTAACTCTAACAAAATTTCCACCTATCAAACTGCAATTTTTAATTCGAATGTACTCAAAGTTATGGTTTGCCAAATCCACTTTCAGACCTACTAATAAATTAAGTGCATTTGACCCACATTAAATAAAATTTTTATCGATACTTGTAAGTTGAACTAAAAATTGTAA